AATAGGCATCTACTGGTATATCTATCCTCTAAGAATCAAAATACAAATGCTTTACCAAACATGAAGCCTGGAATGTCTCGTTACCACTAAATAGGGTATCCGGTGCTCTATATCAACCATACGAAACACAGCAGCATTATTCTGCTGTTTCACGCTGGTATTCTGTGACAACCCGGTCTTACCGCATTCGAATCTGTGTCACTTCGTGCTGCAAACACAATATAACTGCGCAACTTGCCCCAATTGCATAAAGTGGTTTTAAACCCTGGTAGGGTTAATCATAAAACAAGAAATTATCTACATGGCAGTGAAAGCTAAAACACAGTTTGATGATTAATGCGCTCAATCGTTTTGTATTCTGCCGATCATTGTTCTGATTTTGCATGCTGACATTCTATAAGCACCTGGTCCTAGCTCATTAGAATCTGAGTCAGTTCATGCTGCAAACACAATATATCTACGCAGCTTGCCCATATTACGTAGAGTTGTTCTAAACCATACCTCAAGAAATTATATGAATAATCTATATGACATTGAAAGATTACAGTTTAGATGACTAATGCGCGCAATCGTTTTGTATTTTGCAGATTATTACAGCAATAGAAACAATAGAAATTATACATTCCATCTTAATAAAAATCTAAACTCTTATTATGGTAGAAATATTTCATTGAAGTCAAATATTGGGCGCATAAGGTCATTTTAAAGAAAGAACGACGACAAACGAGCACGCAGTCCACCTTGTGTGTATGTGTATGTGTACAGTGAAATGATGCTGTGAATCATAGACAGACACCTTCATCTTTTTTCGATTAGGAACCAAAATGCAGATGCAATAACAAGTCTGAAAATTAAAATGGTATGCCTTCCTATCATACGTAAAAACAACATAACATACGTAAAAAGTGTGTTTGTTTATCTATACACATAAATAAAATTTTAAATCTAAATTACCGCACATTAATGGATTATATCCAGGCGAGGCCGGAGCGGATCGCTAGTTTATAATGTCATTTATAAAATAAGTAAAAAATAAAAAACTTTGTGAAAGGGCAGAAACAAATGAGTACAAATTCCTTCGGGAATTCACATTAAACCTGAAATTGTTTGTATGTGATTGAATTTAGATGTAATTAAACACAAGTTGCAATTACTACGCGCCGTAATTAGATTGAAAAGTTAATGTAGAATAAAAATTAATAGTATGTAGGTATACACACTAGTGTGCATAAAGAAACAGTAGAAATAGTAGAGATTATTATGTATTATAAATGACCCTATCACCTAAATAATATTATCACCATCTTTATAATATCCTTTAAATTACGTAAAAGCCTACTACTGATCATGGTAGCCCCTCCTATAGCTTATTTACTTGAATAACATTTATGAATTGCCTAAATAGTAACGCTTATCAGACGGGTTGATGCTCGCAAAACTCGAAGTTTCGCACCTTCGATGCTGCTCCTTTGTATTCTAAGTCCAAGGATCAGTGGCATTAAAATATTGGGCGGGCTTAGATCGGCTACCCAAAGCGAAGGACCAACCGGAGCATCGGATATATCTAAGCATGAGTTACAATAGCAGTCGCTTAGATGAAAGCGGCTACGAGGATCCTAACTTTATTATTCTTAATAACATAATCAAAATTTTCTGAACTAAAAAATCGTCATTTCGCTGCGTGGCGATCACGACAAATTCGGTAAGCCTACTTGGAGTGGTCACCTCGACTGACCCTTCGTCTTGAGCCAGCCATGTGGGTTCACCTAAGTTCATCATTGGTGCTCAAGCTACGGCTTCCAAGACCCCTTCCCCCTCCCTCCTCCGCGCCAGAGGTAAGGAGGCACACCATTTTAACCCTCATGAGTTACATATATATCTATGTGTAAATATATCTGTGTGTAAATATATTGTGGTGTGGTGCTACCTAGTATTACATGTTTATTAAGGTGCTTTAGCACAAATTTCGGATTGTCGTAGGATTCGAACCTAGGATCGGTAACGTTATAGTTAAGCTCTCAGACTGCCACGCATTTATCAAAATATTTATTTAACTAATCAAATACTACTATTCCAGATTTTGGATACGGTTTGATTGTGTGCTCGAAGATCGAACCTTATATTAAAAGTACACTGTGCCTTCCCTTCAAGTTTTGATAATATCATTCTAATAGATGATAGTTAAGAATAAAAGAGACTCAAATGTCATTCGATCCGATTTACGTTTGTGTTACAATAAATATTATTTTAGAAAGTAAATTTGATCCAACCAACAAATATTTCTCGGATACCTATTTCTGTATTTACGAATTTGTTTATAGGTAATAAAAATCATGGGCAGCAGTATCTTCCTGAAAACAACTCAAAGTAATAAAAAACAGTGGCTGCTAACCCGCTTGCTGAGCGTGGCAACTATTTCAGATCCCACCACGAGGCTGAGGCTGATCTTTGAGTGAAGACTGTGTTCAGCAGTGGACTTTTATAGGCTGTAATGGATGGACGGATGAAAAGGAATAAAATCCACATTATATAATAGCTTCTGAAGTCGGTGCTAAGGCAAAGTGTCTCGAAGAATTGAAGAACCGACTTCAGAAGTATAAAATTGTGATTTTTTAAATTCTTTTTTTGTTTTTGAAGTCGGTGTTTCCTTTTATGCCTTAATTACTATGCATATAAATAAGTCTTCTTCTTCGTCATCGTATAAAATTTACTGTTTAAAATAGCCTTCTTCCGTTGTAGGCAGGATTTTCCTTTCCAGTCACACTTGATAGATGGATAAGTGATCAAAGTATTATATTTCTTGAAAATTCGAATTTCCTCGTACCCGGTAAAAGTATTTTTACTCTGGAGTATTCGAGGTACTTATATCTATTATTTCTATCTGAAATTCGGAGACTGTGAAATCTTAGCGGTATTTTCCATAATCCCCTCTTAATCTAGGGATTATCAAAGCTTAGTATTTGTTTTAAGTGATTCAGGCAGGTTTCTGTAACAAGAAAATATTCTTATGTTGATTTAACATACTTTTTTTCAACCACACGAAGGTACAAAAATAAGACAGGTTGTGCAGAATTTTTTACAAAACCAATTTTTTTGCTGCATCCTTACAAACATAATTCAGCTACAACGTGGGTCTACCACACAACTTTCACCCTTAAACTATGATATCGCTTTGGTATAAGTACAGTGGAATTATCAAATGGCATCTGACAAAGCCTATAAGACATAATTAACATAAAGATAGGCCTTATCAGATTGCACGTCAAAGCAGTCGCTTTGTGAACCCGGTGTGTTATTTATATTTTATTAATATAAGTAGGTGAATATAAACATTTTAGGGTGGAAAATCTCTACACTTAATGCTTGCTTTGATAGCCCCGTTCTTTATCAAACTGCCAACAATTTCTGCTCTGGTTTTGTACTCGAAATTGTATACTTCGATACACCGCTAAAGGGACTGTAGCTCCGCCTGTATTTCTACGAAATCACGTTATTATATATAGATTGTAATATCCCCTTGCCCGTATCACGTTGATTTCAGTAATCCTTTTATTAAATTCTTGTAGTAACGTTTCTATCTACTCTTAAAGAGTTATATTTTAGTAGAGATTGTAACTTATTTAAATTTATTTTTAATTTTTACAAACTTAAAGTAGTGGATATTTTTAGATCCGTAGAAAGATATTAATGACTGCCAGAACGTTACGTAATAATACTGGACTACAGTAAGAATCCAAATGAAATGGCTTTAATTTCTCAAAATTATATATTCGTAGAAATTATGATTACAAATTATTATTTTAATGCAGTCTAGTATTATAATTAAATAAACGTAGAAAATATTTAAAAAATTTTGAAATTTTGATTACAATTTATGGAAACACAATGTATCTCACAAGTAATTAGATTGTTTAGTGTGATTGTCAAGTCAATCTATTTGTTTTAAACCATAAAAGATTTCTAACATTAATATGGTCACTATGAGATGTTAGGTTAGCTAATTACGTAATAACTTAAAACAGAAGGACCCTTAAGTAGGAACTGAATAAATTAACCGATTTGATTTTACATGGATCTCACAACTTTTTGAAGAACTGAGTTGAGAGACTTGTTTTTTTTTTCAAATTATGTTTTTGATGGCATCTCATTTCTTTTTTTAGTCTTACTTTTTTAGTTTCCGGTACCTTCTACTTCTTGAATACCAACAACGTACTTATCTACACCAATTATGCATATTATACAGGTACACTGATTCATTCACTACAAATGTAACTTTGTAATCCTATATATTCATATGGGATTTATTATATAAATATTTATACAAAATTATTTATGCAGTTGGTATATCTAGAAAAGTGGACCGAAATTGAAAAATATTTTAGTTTTTCTTTGATTGATATACTAAACACTAATTGTATTCTAAATTTAAAACTTCTACGTCTGCTAGAAGCGCCATAGAGTTTTGATGATCGGTCAGTCAGTGAGTGACAAAATTAAGAAACTTTGACTGGTTATAATTCTTAAACTACTAGTACAAATTAAATGAAATTTGAAATATACAATGTTTATACAATGCCTTTTATTCTCAACGAAGTTATAGGGAGGTCGAAAATGGCCTAAACTGCTTCGAGAAATGCATGGTACGGCCGTGCCGCTTTTTTGCTCGACTCGGCGGGGGCACTGCCATGCCTGTGCCGTGAAGATTATGCAAATGTACGATCTACGAAACGTAGACGTTAGATTTCCTGCCAAACAGTCTATCTGGATTAACAAAAACACCCTCTTACCTACTTCTGTAGCCACATGGCGGCTCTGGTACTGTTGTCTTCGCTCTGAAGGATATAGAGAGCCAGTACAATAACAGACTGAGGCATTTTATTTTAACCCTCAGATGTGACAACGCATCTCTAGCCTTCTTTGTTTGAAGTTGGCTGCTGGTCTCGATGAACTACCCTCCGAACGAGTTCCCGCCTTGTCGTGTGGTAATAATAATACTGATGTTAATTTTTAGGCAAGAATTTTATTTTCAAGTTTTCTAAACAAAATTCAAAAATACACAAAACGTATCCTATCAACAAGAATAGAAAACAACTGACGGTCTGTTTGCGAGTGAGTGGGGTTGGATCTGATGATAACCGTGAAGCTCTTACAGTTACAGGTTTTACAGTATCACGTTCAAGTAGTCCGCTTTCCAAAAATCTTTGTAACCACATCGATAAAGGTCGCATAAAAGGCGAATCCTTTTTCGTCCAAACTACCAAAGGTACGGTCATAATGGAGTCTGACAAAACATGACCACATTCATTTTCATTAATTCCCTGCGACAGGCAATAAGCCCAAGCGTATTCCAAAGATAAAGCAAATACAAATTTAGTTTTTCCCTCCACGACATCCTTAAAAGTATCTTCAAACCGAGTTTCTGGTATTATTTCAAATTCATCGCGTATCTGTGGATCATGTTCAAAAAACACCGAAATACCAGCTCGACCACCAAACTTATACCCATTCTCGACGGCTTCTTGCAAATTCGCAAAATTTCCTATAACGGTATCCGTTTTCAAAACGTAAACCAGATCCACAATCCAATTATGTAAAAATCTCGAAACCGTTTTGGAGACACTGTAATTGGTTGTCCAACCAACCCTGCCCAAATTCGAAACGATACGCTTTTAAGTTTGCGCATGCCTCTAAAGTGCTTATAAGTAAACTTCTTCACTGACCTCATTTTTGACATGAATGGAAGTGATTTTAAAAAGAATATTAAAATCAAAAGTATCAGCCACAAATATCCACTCAATGGTGATAGTAAACGCAACCACACATGCCCTGGCTTGATAGAAGGCGCCAACCAAACAATTCTTATTCCGAAATATGGAAAAGAATAATCTAAAAGACCTAACTTTTCCACTCCCAATGAAATACTGCAGGTGGAAATGTTTGCTTTTCCGGTTATAACATCATTTAATGAATCAGACCGATTCTGGGTTCGGTATAAATCAATACTGACGTAATCACTGGTAGAAATAATTGGAGTAAAGTTCAGAATTTCTTTTAGTAAACGCAACATGGTGTTCTTTATTATCTGCAACGGAATTTTTTGCTCTGTAGAGGAATTATACAATTTGTTCGTGGATATATACAGAGGACATTCTCGCATATTTTTAATTTTATCCGGGTATACATTCATTCTAACTGGATTATTTTTGTCTAGTAATCCGAGAAGAAAAGATTTCATGTTCTGGCAGTCAATATAGTTCTTATATGGGTAAAAGGTGTAAAGAGCAGTCATATTCTCCTTATGGTAAGTTATTACTATAACGTTGATTACATAATAACTCCACAGTGTGCGAAAAATACCTTCAATTCGATGTGATTGCGAAAGCAGAACTATAATAAATTTTGCCTCGCTGTGCATAAGTGACTTCCCCTTTGAGATCGGGTTTCAATATTTTTAAAATTTTTCTAAAAGATCTTAAAGACTCCACAAAAATAACAACTTGCTGAGGAGGCAGTCCATCGCGCTTCACTTCGATAACTACAGTGCCTTTGTACTTTTTCAGAAAATTCTCCACCATTATTCCATCAACGTCTTGCGATATAACAACTGTTTGCCATCTAAAATTAAAATTTTCGTTCGCTAATTGAGTTGTAGTATCCATAATATGTTTGAAATTATGATATCCATGATCATTACTTGTTAAGTAAAAGGAATAACTTTTTATTAAAAATATAAGCACCAAAAATACACTGGGAACAGTAGTCATTGTATTTCCATTGTTACCAGCACCACTGAAATAAAAACGGACATGCATCTGACTTTTTGTCGAAATGAATAAGGGATAGAATATTTTTGACAAAAAAAGAAACAATAGAAGTAATTTAGTTACATCAATATACAATAAATCATCCTTTGTTGGATACCAACGGATTCTAAAAATGTTTTGATTTTATTTTCTGCAAAGTTAATAAATAATGGATTTCTGTAAAGCAGAGGTTTCATCGGCATTTAAATTACCACAATTTCAAAGACATAACTTTAAATTTAAAGTAAAGTGTGTGTGTGTGTGTGTGCGTGTGCGTGTGCGTGTGCGTGTGCGTGTGCGTGTGCGTGTGCGTGTGCGTGTGCGTGTGCGTGTGCGTGTGCGTGTGCGTGTGCGTGTGCGTGTGCGTGTGCGTGTGCGTGTGCGTGTGCGTGTGCGTGTGCGTGTGCGTGTGCGTGTGCGTGTGCGTGTGCGTGTGCGTGTGCGTGTGCGTGTGCGTGTGCGTGTGCGTGTGTGTGTGTGTGTGTGTGTGTGTGTGTGTGCGTACATGAGTGTATGTGTGGTGAGAGTGTGTTTTTACTATTTTACTGTGAAGATTTTATATTTTGAAATTTGTATTATTGCCTGCATTATTAATGATTTATGCGTATAATAACAAATAATATGAGAACAATAAAAAATTATAATTACATTTACATATAAGAGGTTTAATAAACATTCAGTAGCGTCATAGTCATAAGTTTGAAGACAATTAATAATTTTATTTTTGATTTGATGGTTGTTGTAGCTTTTAGTAATACAAATTTTATTAAATTTATTGTATAGTACCGGCGCAAGGTAAAAAAATTGTCTTTTGGCAAAAGCACTATGTGTTCTAGGGACTAAGTATCTATCTACTTTATTTCTTCTATTATGTTTTATACTGTCAAGTTGATGTGCAGAGTACCTATGGAATCGCCTAATACATTGGTATATAAATAAATAATTTCGTCTACATTTAATTACTCCAGATACACAGATTTTGGATTGTCGTAGGATTCGAACCTAGGATCGGTAATGATATAGTTAGGCTATCAACTGTCACGCATTCATCACAATATTTATATAACTAATCAAATACCACTATTCCAGATTTTGGAAATGTTTTCATTGTTTGCTCGAAGATCGAACCTTATATTAAAATTCTCTGTGCCTTCCCTTCGAGTGTTGATAATGTCATTCTATTATACGTACTACAATCAAATTTTAGTAAGTAAATTTGATACAACCATTAAGTATTTGTCGGTTACATATTTCTGTATTTACGAATTTGTTTATAGAAAAAATTATAAAAAATATCAGTCTTTTTTAATTTTAAAATTGATAACCCACCCGCTTTTTTCTTAATTAAATGAATTAATAATAGTTACAAAAAGTATCCTATGTCACGATTTTCCTCAATATATTGGACTTTTATGTCAAATTTCATTGAGATCCGGCCAGCCGTTCCAGCGTTAATGAAGGATAAACATCCAAACTAATTCGAATTTCAAACGAGTATTACTGAGGTCAGTTCAATATGGATACAACCTTCAAGTTACGTACCTATCACTTCTCTCCAATTTTCGTTCAAGGGTAAAAGCAAATCACAATAAAAGCCTCTGAGGTCGCCAGGAATATTGTACCGTCAGTGAACCTGACATTGAAGCGAAGTGTTTTGTGATTGAATTGAAACGTAATGAAGCGCAGCAGCTCGACAACGTATTTGGATACAAGTGTGCTTTCAAGTGAATTTCTAATTTATTTCTTCACTTTGAATGTTTTGTAATTATAATATATAAAAGCTAAATTAGAATACATAAATGGAGCTTCTAAATAAGTCCATTCAAATTGTCAATTCGATTTTTTTTGTATTTATGTTACGCGAAATCTTCGTCAATTATGAACATGAACACATTTCAAAAATTCGGTTTATTGAAGAAGAAAATTCCACACCAAATGGCGAGAAAATAGGGACTGAAATTTTATAAGGTCTTAAATTTTTAATGAATATCTTTTTAGATTTCATTCAAATAGAATTCAAATCATACCTTGATGAGCTTGTGATATTGCTAAGTAAATTGAAAATTCTAAAACACGAAAAGGAATAAAATCCACATTATTTAATAGCTACTGAAAGTGCTTAAGGGGAAATATAATGTCAAATGGCTTAGCAAGATCCTTCGTTATGCCGAAAATATTTGCAGCATTAATTTTGAAATAATTATATGGTAAAGTTGAGGATTAATGTTAATGATTATGTTAGACGAAAACACGATTTCGTAAAATTTTCTCGATAGAAAAAAAAATCCAAAGTTACCTCCAAAATAAACAATAAACCGCTGTTATTCATAAAATACTTTAAATAGATCATGAAACTTTGCATACTAACTGAACTATCTATAAAGCAGTGCTTATGTTATTTAATTTTTTTAAAATACCATTATTTCCACTGTTAAAAGAAATTACCTAAACTATCGGCGTCTTGAGCTTGATTCCTGTCGCCCGTTAGTATCGCTTAGGCTTTTGAAGGGAGAAGTTGTGAAGTGTGTTGTGTTGTTGTCGCTTACGATCAGAATATACATTACGCAACAGTACGACGTTAAATTAAAATGGGAAATAACCGTGATAAAAATAAGAAGCGGCTGGCTTGGCGGTAAGAAACAGGCATAAATATGATAAACCTAATGAAATAATTAGTGATTACAAACATATCGGTACATAGCATACGACGCGCGGGGAAGTGGGGGGCGAAATTAGAATTTGAGCTGACTTACTCTATCCTCTTAAGGCGACACCGTGAAAAAATGCACCTCCTTTCATCGAATAGTATAGGACTATGACACCACTAACGAAAGTGGGATCTTGATATGAGTAAAATCATGTCTTTATCTTGAATTTGATTGCTCAAAAACACGATTGTATAATTTTGACTCGATCATAATTATTTGCGAAAACACCTCTAAAAAATCACTATAATTGAAATTACAACGAAATCATTTAATCTATATGTTTGGAAATCACTCAAATATATTCATAACATCAATATTCATAATTTACTTGCTCATTATTTTGATAAATTATATCAATAATTTTTTAAAAAATATTTTAAGATTCTGACAATTTCTAAGCGCTTTAATCGTCGCGGGCGCTACGCAATTTTAGACCTTATGACGGCGTTTCTTCAAGTTTTTATAGAAATTATGTATTCACTCGGATCAGTACGGCGATAGCGTTTGCGATGTGTTGTCTTAAGCAGTGTTTCGAATAATTAAAAAACGGACTTGAGAAGCTATAAAATTATGTGATTTTTTTTTACATTTCTTTCCTGTCTTTGAAGTTGGTTTTCATTTTACGTCATAATTACTAAGCATATAAATACGTCTTCTTCTTCATCATCGTAGACATGGCGATCTAAGATCGATTTTTCGATTGAGATTAATCGAAGAATCGATTTCTGGTTCCAAAACAGTGATTTTTAAATCGATATAGTACTGAATCGATATTTAACCCTAGAAAGCTTAGGTTCGATTTTTTCTGTTTTGAAAAGAATCGTAAGAGTTACAATTAGTTGAAAAAAAAAACTAAGTTACGTTTGTAGTCTCTTTTTTTGTTGTATATGTTTATATTGTTAATACAAATTCTTTAACCAAATCGAAAAAAAATCTTTTAGACCTCAATTTTTTGTGAATTGATTCATCAGATTTCGATTCGAATCGATTTAAAAATCGAACCCTTTTGTAAAGAATCGTCATTCCTACATCATAGTATAAAATCTACTGTTCCAAATAGAATTCTTCCGTTGTAGGAAGGATTTTCCTTTGTAGTCACACTTGATAGGTGATCGATTGGATAAGTGATCGCAGTATTAAATGCCTGGAAAATTCAACATGTTCCTCGTTTCCAGTTTAAGTATTTTTACTCTGTGGTATTCGAGATAGTTAGG